CTCGTTCTTCTTGTTGGGTCATTTGCCATCTTCAGTTCTTTCTCTTTCTTTGTTTTCCTTTCTTTCTTTGTTTTCCTTTCTTTCTTTGTTTTTTTGGATCTTCTGGGTTAGGACATTGTTTTGTATTATTTGTTTACAGTCCACTTCTAATAGGGATTTATATTGGGTCTTTTTCTCCACTGATCCATTTTTTTGGTCTACTCTTGTGCATTTAGCATCATGTGGGGTATCTGCAATACTATGTTAAATTTTTTTTTGGTTGCTCTTTTGTTTCATTTTGAGTCATTGCCATCTTTATTCATGTTCCATGTCCAGCACCTTCCTTTCTTTTTACCTGTTTTCTCCATTGTCGTGTATGCTCATGGCTGATTGATTTCAGGATCAATCGGTCCCACCTCAATCACTTCTTGGTTCTTCCGTGTTTTAATATCTAGTCTTTGATCACAATTGGGTGGGCAATTTCTACAAGACTGAGAATGTTCACTGTGCATGTTCTTATTTTTCATTTGTCTGGATGCTATCTTAGGTTTGTACCAATTTTGTGCGATGCCCTTCGGAATTGTTTTAGTTCTGTATGTCTTTTGTTATGTAGTCTGCATTTTGGAGGATTTTACTAACACCACTATCTGGACGTCTGTCTTCAGTTAGCTCTTTCTGAACAGGGTGGTCATAAAATTCTTATCTGCTTCTTACACAAGTGGATCCTGTGATTTGATTTTCCAGTTGGATAAGTTTTTCCTGTTATTTACCTAACAATCTCAGTTACTTGGGGAGTGTCTTTTTAAACACCCACTTCCGTTGAGACCATCCATTCTCCTCCTTGGATACATTCGATGGAGCTTTCTGTTGACCACGCCATTACGGTTCACTATCTATCTGTAGTGAGGTTCTAATGCATTCGGAGATGTAGTTTCTATGGAAGCACTTCTCTCTTTGGGTCTGCCACATTTGGACTTTCGTCATAATTTTCCTACTTCCCCTTTTTGACTATATGAATTGGTGGTTCAACGTATCCCCCATGTCTTTGGGTTTACTGATTCCTCCCTTTCTTCTGGATTTGTTTCTCTATCCTGATGCTCGTCTCCAAAGTTGGAGGGCATGGGTCGATCAGCAGTAGGCTTCAGGACAATGGTGTATAAACAAAAGGTCTTACCATGTTAACACCCTGGCACTTCTGGCAGACCAAAGTGCTTTACTTCACTTTCTTCCTCTTGTCCAGATTTGACTAATCATGTTTCATTCTGATCATTTGATGGTGGTGGCAGCTTATATCACTCATCAAGGGGGCACTCATTCTTGTTCCCTTGGATCTCCTTATTGAACCCATAGACTTGACATACGTCTCCTGGTGTGTCGTGTTCCAGGTTCTTTAGTCCTCATTGCAGATCGCCTTTCCATGGTACTCCTCCATGGGAACGTTTGACTTCTTTCTTGATTCCAATTTACCTCTTTTGTTTTTTATCTCCAGTTCATCATCCGCTTGCCCTGGCTGTTCATACGTTCAGACAGGATTAGATCCAGTTTATAACTTTGTTTTCCTCATTCCATCAGTCTTCTTCCCTTTCTAATTGATCCTCCCTAATCAGGACAGATTGGGTTTTCTCAGCTGTTTCAGCTCGATATGTTCTTTTTGTTCTGGAATGATATTACTGACCTACACTTTGGGAGATCATGTGGAATATTCTTATTGTCATTTACGTTTTTTACTATCTTCCACCTTTATTCTTAGTCAGATCCAGATGACCTTCTCTGTCCCTTACATGCTCTGGGTTGCTTCGTTGCTTTCAAGGCTTTTATTCATTGATTCCATTTGTCGCAATTTCATTCCCTTGCACCACCCTTCTGTTCGTGATTTTTTTTTCCTTTCTCCCTTATCTATTGGGTTGGCTTGTGATTTGATTGGCCTTTTATTCCTTGTCTCTTTCTTCCTGTAATCAATTCCTGGTGTCTTTCACTCTGTTCAAGCACCTCACCTATTACCTGCATCTCAACCCTGTCATCAGTTGGAGGTACTTCGTCTGTCGAGCATTGGGCTTACAACTCACATGTTTATCTCCCATTATCTGCTTTGGTTAGCTGTTTCTTCCACCTATTGCCATCTTTAACTCTTTGATGAGACTGTAACCAAGTAAGTTTTCTTTCTTTTATTATATATATATTATTTTAGAGGGGCCTGTTCCATGTTTTGACAAGGATCCTGCTCTGTGGTGAGTGATGCCTGTCTAGGTATACTTCAATCAATTAACATCGTCCTAAAACCTGCACTGTAAGACCATGTTAACTTTCATAATTTCCATGGTCACACAATACACACTATTCATTGTAGTCACATAAACTGGAGATGGGGGTGTTCTCCAAGATCGCTCGTAGGTTGATCCTCGCAATATCTTTGCTTTATAAGTATGCCCGTTCTGGACCGTACTAACTTGTGGACTTCATGGGTAAAGCAGAAGGGGATTGCTACCCTTCTCTGCCATTCCTTAGATTGAATAAATCGGGTCTGGTCTGCTTTTAAAAATAGGTTTTCGTGATCACCCATTGCACTGTCTTCAGTGTGAGCATTCCTTTGGACTCTCCACTGTGTTTTTCCCCTGTTTCTTCCAGTGAAGTAAGATAGTCCTTACCACTTTCCAGTTTGAAACTGCTGGGGTGGGGTACCATGGAGGTACCCTCCTGAATGAGAGGTATACAATATAAACAATAAAGACTCCAGTTGAGAGTAGGACAGTTGTGTTCTGCTGGTGGGAGTGAAAGGCTTGTGGCATGTGAAAATTTTCTTTTTCAAATATAGGGCAGTACTGAATGAGAATAGCTATGTGTGTGAGCAGAAGTAACTACCTGTCGGAAATACGTTTTCAGTGTAGAAAAGTTATAACTTCTGGTGACTTCTGGAGAAAAATAAGTAGTTAATCACAGAGTAAATCATAACTTTCAGGACTGCTTATAGTTATATTAGTTTTAAGTAGTTTGAATGAATATATATAATGTTGATTTTTGGTTTGGTGTGTAGATTGTCAAATGGATGTCAGTCATTACAATGCGCTTCTAAAGGTTTACTTGGAAAATGAATACATGTTTTCTCCCACTGACTTTCTGACAACAATGGAGAACAAGGGAATTCAACCTAATAGGGTAAGAAAGTTTCCACTTATTTAATCCCAGTATTGCCTTTATCTTAATATCAACAAATATCTATTTTTAATTGTTTCATAAGAAGATTATATAATAATTTTTAATTGATTGTATGGGATTAGAATTGGAATGATTTTGAATCTACAAATACTTTGGGTGTACTAACACGCACAGTTTTTCTGAATATATGCACAATGTACATTGAAAGTGTTAGAATTGATAAGCTGCTAGTATGTTATTAGTATAACATTTAGGAAAAAATAAAAACTGCACTACTGGTGATTCACTGTTAAACCTACATTCTAATAGTCACCATGCAAGAT